AGCCAACAGACCGACACTTCCACAGATGTTGACACTGACGATAAGAATCAGGTTTTTTATCTCTCTTCTCTCCCTCTCCCTCTCCCCACAAACTACTATTATTGTCGTCTTGTGTATAAAATTGATGTGTTTAGGTTTGTTTTTACTTTGTTTCTTTGCAAATTTCCTATTTACTTGTGGCACTAAAAACTTCACTTAGGCGGGACTGTGATTTATGGCTTCATTCTTATCATAATGTATTTCACACCATGGTTCAAAGAATTTGCTTTTTTGACACAACTCATGGTCTTATCATAATGTATATTCATTGCTGAGACTGGCACACGTTCCTATATGCCATGACTCTCACTCGATTCTTGAGTTGTCCAGAGGACGAGTTGTCCAAGTCATTGTTGGCGATGTGGCAATACTATTCTGATACTACACAGTACCTTTTTGCAACACTGTGATATGACAGTAATCTCTCACCATGTCCAGCTTTTCTTTTTTTTTTTTTTTTTTTTCCGGCTACCATTTTATTCATACTGTGCAATGCTGTTCCACGACTCACCCTCTGGCTGATTTGTCTCAGAGCCCTCCAATTCAATGGCCAATACCGTGGCCTTTAATCATCTTTCACCAACTATTATGTTTTCTTGGGCTGCTACTATATTGCAATTCTTGTGGTTGCTGCTTTAGAGCAATCACAGAGGAATTCTGAGACCTAGTACGAACTTCAGGTGTCCATCAGTGCTTACTTTTGTGTTCCTATAAAATAATATCTTTGTTCGAACATAATATCTTTTTCTCAATTAACATTCTGGAAATTACTAAAATGTGTAACAATTTTAAATTAGTACTTCTCCCTGGATTGGAAGTGCTGATGACCGTTATTCATCATTTTGTAGTTTCATGGAGTCCAACATGGAGCACTGTTAGTTGTGGACTCGGTCGATCAATCAAGTGGAAAACCTGGAGATCAGAAGGTGGTTGACATGGTGCACTGTTCCCCATTTTCCGGTCACAGTCTTTTTGTGAAGTGCTTGAAAGTTAAGCTCATACTTTTCTGTTAACTATGATGCAGACACTTCGTAGGCTGGCTCAAAACAGAGAAGCTGCACGGAAGAGTCGGTTGAGGAAAAAAGTAATTGTGCATCTCAACTATTTTCTTCTATTGTTACCATGCAACATTTGGTTGTATTGTTGGGCTATATTGGATGTTTCATTGCTCCATCTTTCAGACACCATCTGTTTTGGTTTTTTGGTTGATGTGTTTATCTCAATACTATAAATTTATTTGGGACACTGAAATTTAAGACAAATAAGATGTTATATTAAGAAAAATATAGTTAAGCTAGATCTTGTCTTGGTTTGTGACTTCTGTCCTTTTTTTGTTTTCCCGGCCCCAGGGAATTTTTCTTGTAATAATGTTGTAGTTGGTCGGAAGTTTTCTGGGTAGTGTCTCCTCTGTTCTCTCAATTTCTGATTGTCTTCTACTGATCTCACTGTGGTGAATCCAAATTTAGTCAATGGTTCGAAAATTTTCATGATACAAATTACTCAACTAGATCATCTCAAAGCATGTCTTGAAATCTCTGTGGGTAAATTAGTCACGTTTGACTGATGCGTATATAAAAACAATGGCATTGGGCTGAGTTTTGATTAGCATGATACATGATTTGGTTGTAATTTTAGTTGTTACAGAAACACCCACTTGCAGACAGATAATGTCTAGCATCGTTCTTCGATTAGTCAGAGGCTTCTTTAGGCAGTTCTCCTTGAAGAATACCTGGCACCTGGTCTAGGTCTGTCGTTCAAGAAGCCAAGGAGGTTGTCTTTTTGTTTCATTTACTTCTTTCTTAGAGCATTTTGAGTTTAATATTGCAAAAAGCTCCATCTACTCTCTGCTTGACGTTTTCTTGCTAGTGTCATCTTGTTTATGTTGAAGTGACATGTAATGTCAGATGCCTGATTGACTGTTTTCAGCCCAGGATTTTATGTTAGTCTGCCTTTTCTGATTGTGTCGCCATGATACGTTTATGTAATACAAAGAATATACTTGATTATTCATAGGTTTCGGTTTTGGATAGGCGTATGTTCAGCAGCTGGAGAATAGTCGGCTCAAGCTTACCCAATTAGAGCAGGAGCTTAAGCGAGCACGTCAGCAGGTGATCTCTGTGTGTGTGCATGTGTGGGTGAGTGTGTGGGTGAGTGCATTTATATGAGTAATAAATCTTTTGTCTGTGTGCTTCTCTTTGTGAGCATCACATCTCGGGATGTGTTTTCTTTTGGTTAGGTTCTTAGCTATTGCTTAGTGAACTGTTTTTCTCATGAAAATTTTCCTTTTGTATTGATACAGGGTATGTTTGTTGCATCTGGACTTTCAGGAGATCAGAATTATTCAGTTGGTGGAAATGGTAAGCAAATGAGTTGCATGTTCTTTGTTAGCAACCTTAATTCTAAATGTTTAGGTGCTACAAGATTAATCATTTATTCAATAAAAGAACAATGATGCGCAATATAGTGTAATGCGAGCTCTCTTCATTGACAATCTTATAAATTGTTACTGGTTTGGTAGTAACAATAAACGATTTTCAAGAAGGGTTATGCTGAATATACAACTGATTTATGAATATCTGTACCACTGAGGTGTTCGAGATTATTCCCAATATTCTATGGGTCACTATTTCTGTTTTGGGTTAAGCGTTAATGCATTCACTCATTTAGTGCTTAAGAGTGACAGTAAAAGCACGAGGACTTGGAAGGTTATGTTGTTCCCATAACAGAGGACAAAATGAGGTTGAATGCTCCTAAAAAAGGTTGGACAATTTGGAATAGGATAGATGAAGGTTGCCTTCTAGATTGTGAAAGAAGATGCAATTGGGAGATTATGAAGAAGAATCTAGAGATGAAAACCATGTAAGTGAAGTAATTCTTCAATAAATTGATATATATGATCTGATATGTCAAATTCTGAAGAAAGTGGAGTGCTATCTTTCACCATCTCCACTCCACTTCACAGTGAAGCTTTGCTGTCTTCATGTAGTAGCCTGTCAATTTATTTTGTATTGTTTACGAGTTGAATCCAAGAAATGAAGCATGTAGGAGAAAGAAGTCAATGTGCCACTGCCTTTCTTACATACCCTGGAAAACGTCTTAGTGTGATTCCTGAAGCTGGAAGCAGGTGCTTGTATTTTTCTCTTGGATGCCGTGCACAATAAAATATCAAATTTTGCAAGTGGTTTAAGACTGGTGGAGTGTGTTGCGAACATTTGTTTTTGTAGTTCTGGTTTGATGAATGAATAAGGACATGTTATTGTTACCATGCTTGAGGGAGTGATCTTCTGAAAAAATCCAGATATGGACAGCAGCATTTATATTTCTCAATGCGTGTTCCGAGTACTTTTTTTTTTGGTGCAAAAGTTTGTAGTTCCGATTACCCATTTATGCATATTCTTGAGATTTTCAGTTGGACTGCTAGAGAAAGGATGAAAGCATCTTCCATGCTTGATTGATGTAGGTTATTCATTTGCTTTCAGTTCAATTCATCAGAGTTATCTACTTTAATCCGTCATATCATAATCTGAATGGAAGATAAACAAATTCATCTTGGATTAGGTTCTCATAATTTTCATGAAATAATTCTTCTCTTAATTGTCAGGGTTGCCCTTTTTCTCTTTCGCCTGAACCCCTTTTTGGATTCTCTTCATTGTGAAGGTAGACCGCAAAGCAAGCATTGTGCTCATGAATGTCATTTTTGTACGTTCTAACTGTGTCTAAAGCTATTCGGTTCTCTTTCTGCGCATTCATGTGTGTGTTGAAGGGGCAACAAAAGCTAATGTCATTATGAAATAAATTTAACAAATAAGTATTTTACCCAAATTGTGCTCGGTGTTTTCTTTTGACAAATAAACCTATTGAAAATTTGTAGAGCACATAGAAATGTCGTTTTGATATTATCAAGTTTCTTGTTATGCTCTCTGTCTAGGCGCCTTGGCATTTGACATGGACTACGCTCACTGGCTTGATGAACATCAACGGCTTATCAATGATCTGAGATCAGCTGTAACTTCTCAAGTGGGTGACAATGAACTGCGCCTTCTTGTTGATGGAGTAATGTCGCATTATGATGAATTATTCAGGTTAAAGAACATAGGTGCAAAGGCTGATGTATTTCACATGCTCTCGGGCATGTGGAAGACCCCTGCGGAAAGGTGCTTCATGTGGTTGGGTGGATTTCGTTCATCTGAGGTTCTTAAGGTGATTCAATGTTAATGTGCGGGGCAATCGGTTTATTATTTTTACGCTGTCCTATCACTTGTTATAGTATTTTTTTTTTCGCAAAAGTTTCTAATTTCTGGAATTTCAGATTCTTGGGAACCACCTTGAACCTTTAACGGATCAGCAGTTGATGGGAATATGTAATCTACAGCAGTCCTCCCAACAGGCTGAGGATGCCTTATCACAAGGAATGGAAGCTTTGCAGCAATCACTCTTAGAGACACTTTCCTCTAACTCTCTCGGGCCTACTGTATCGGGCAACATGGCCGACTACATGGGACAAATGGCAATTGCCATGGGCAAGCTTGCCACACTCGAGAACTTCCTTCATCAGGTAAAAACTTCACACCACAAATCCAACTATCCAAGTATGTATCAACACACTTGAACTTGAAAGCACATAAATTACATGATTGGGAAGATAATTATAAGTTTTACGTTTTCTATAGGTCATGGGTAGTTATTGCCTGTTAATGGGATGGTGTAATCCAAATGCTTTTAATCTTGCTAGGCCGACCTTCTGAGGCAGCAAACCTTGCAACAAATGCAGAGAATTTTGACACCCCGTCAAGCTGCGCGTGCCCTCCTTGTTATCAGTGATTATATGTCACGTCTCCGGGCACTCAGTTCTTTATGGTTAGCACGCCCTAAAGATTAACATCATTGCTTTCCCTATGACAGTCTTATTGTAGTGACAACCTCTACTAAGTAACCATTGAAGGTTTTGTGGAGATGATCTGCTTAACAATGGTAACCCTTTCTTTCCCTGCTAATGTTTAGTCTGCTGATGGTAGGTAAGTCCCACACCAAATTTGACGTTGTTGCAGTGTCTGAGAGGAGCCATGTCTACCATTGGTTGGTTTCTGAGCAGTCGTTAATAGTAGCTGCTTACTTCATGTTGTAATTTACGTATGCTATACACTTGGACGGAACATATATTACGATGATCTAATGCAAGATTTGCCATATTTAGATGTTTAATTGTCAGGGGCAGCCACCATCATCCATGAACATTTGTTGTGTGCGTGAAATTGCAAATCAAAGATCATGTTCGACAAATCTGGAAGTTGGTCTCTTTTGTATTATCAGTATGTATTGACATTTGCACAAAGAATTGTCATTTTTAACATTAGGAACAATTAGAAAACTTTGTAGGATCATCAATTCTTGTGTGCCACTGGTTGATATGTTCTTCCCTTGTCAATCTTCTTCCTTCCTGCAATCCAGATTGAAACAACAGATCCGTTAAATGAAAGAAGATATGAGTTAAAAAAATAAAAAGAACAGAAAAAACTCGGTAGACAGAGTCACTATATGTTCATGCACCAATAAGGCACATACTTGGCTTATTATGTCTTCTTCTGGGCTTGACCACCTGGGGTATGAACACCCCTGTGCCATTGCCAGTTCTCCACAAGTTCAAAACCCGGGGGGTATTGTATCAGTGTTCTCATTTCCCGGCCAAAAGAAATAGCTTCCCGATGGTTGTGCAATGGCGTAGCCATAGTTTGTGGTATGTGTGGTGACTCTAGTGGAGCCCGAATCATTGTTTTTGTTAAAATCTTTGTCGTCATCTGCTGTCAAAAGCAAAATTTGCCTTCTTATCTCAGCATAGAAAGCATCATCACCACCATTATCATCTCCATCAGACTCATAAAATGGGTCCATGTTTGGTTGGACACTGTAAAGAAAGTCCGTGATAGCTTTGAATTGAACTTGAAATTTGGATTCTTGGTTTTTTTCTGCTCGGATGGTTTAGGATTATATAGGGTGATTACTTGGAAAAAGGTACTTTGATTGGGGTCAATGCTTTGAGTTCATAGAAGCTGTTCTGGTGAGATTTTTTAAAGTTGTTCCAAATTCAAAGGAATTTGTTAGCTTTGTTCTCTAGTACATGTCTGTATATTAATTTCTTCATTAATTTTCAGTTGTCTTGGTCTCAGTTTTGGAAGGGTAGGTACTTCTAAACTTATCCAATGGTGTGTTTGTTCTTCCCCCTTGGCTTTGTGGGGGGAAAAAACAGAGATGTGTGACTATGTGAGTGCTGTCATTTATCATTCAGCATTGTAAATTGGTAAAGATTTAAACCCTCGATTATACAGAACTAGCATGTTTTTAACAATAGACTAAAGATCAGAAAGTGGTATCAAATTGTGGTAGACTACTGCCAAAGTTGACTTATAAATTGGGTCTTGAAGAACATAAATATATCATCAAAAATGAGTATATTAATTACGAATAAAACTAAGAGAAATTTGACTTGAGTGGTTTGGGTGTATGGTATAACCAATCAATTGCTTAATAAACCCTCCTTATTTCAACAATTACAAATACCAACCACATCTGGTATATATGGGTTTTTTTTTGGTCACAAAGTGTTTAAAATTGTGTCAACTACTCTCTTGATTTTTATAGCTGACCATTATAGTTTGAATTAGATTAAAGCATGTCTCGAAAAGGGTGGCTAGTCTTTATTAAACGTAAGATGTTAGGATTATTAGCTTTGATTAATATAAAAATGACCATTAATATAATTCAAAGGCAAAATAGGATTAGAAATCCTTGAATTGAACTAAATTGCACAATTTGTTTTTGGAGAGTAAGGCTATCAAAGTACCAATGGGGAAAATGATTACATACAAATAATCTTAAACTATATATCTTTAAGCTTGAACAGTTAGCGGAATGCCATTCACTTTGAAAACATCCTTTTCTTGAATTAACCGATGGGAGTCCTTTCGTGGTATAACTTGAGGTCTCTTGTGTGTTTGTGGTCAAAACTCTCATTGACCTTGCTTATCTCTTGTTTGATATGCTCTCCCCAACAACTTATTTTGGTGTTTGTGTGTGTGTGTGAGAGAGAGAGAGAGAGTTGTTTGGGGGGGGGGGGGGGGATTGGTCTCTACTGTAAATGAAGAAAGATGGTGAGTTTGGTGTCATGTCTATCTATCAATATATATTTTACTATAATATAAAACAATCAAATTACGGATGATAGGATACTGAAAATGCTTCCCTCCTTACTTGTTAATTTACTAGAATTTGGAAATATTTAATTAGTTCACTCTAATCCAAACATTATATACGTCTTTTATAATCACTCCCACCATTTTTTTAAACTACTTCAAAATTTGAACTTTCTATTATTTTTTCTTAATTATTTAAAATATAAATGAATGATAATACTAATAGAAATTATTCAGATATATTATGGTAGCGAAGGATTTGATAATAAGATAATAATAGGAAGAGACGATAAATTTCGTGCATCGTACGGGATGCCTACTTGTATATATATAAAACACACAATTTAGAGGTGAGAAGGTTTGGTAAGCATTCTCTCCCCATTTCTTAAATTCTTACAATTTAGAATTTTTTAATTCATAATTTAAGGTTTCTTCCAATCAAATACTGTCATGTGTCTTTTGTAACCACATCTCTATTCCCTTATAACCAACTATTATTTTTCAAATTTATTCAAAATGTTACTTTTTACCACTTAAAATTTTTCTACAATTATTCATTTAACATCTCAATTGATAAAACAAAAGAAGAAATGGGTAAATAAAAAAAAATAAAAAAGAGACTATATTCATAAATAATTCATGCATTGCATGGGGTGGACCGCTAGGCTATCTATATATATAAAGAACAATACTACATAAACTTTAAAACTAGACTCGATATTTAGGTCTACGTAGCATTACTCATATATAAAACAAACATTTTCTTAAAAGAGAGACATTGAGATGATTTTCCTCCTTAAATACTTAATTACTAGATATTTAATTACTTCACTCCAATTGAATTATTACATGTGTCGTTTGTAACCACTCCTACTATTTTTTAAAACTACTTTCACTTTAAATTTCTAATCATCTCTCTTAACTATTTAAAATTCATATGAATATCATTTTAAAACATTAATGATAATTTTCCATTAATATTAAGGTTAGGGAGGGTTTGGTGCTAAAGTGATAATAAGAAAATACAATGATTTCCCAGCATCGGTTTTATATTAGTTTGTTACAGTTAATCAACAAAGAAGTGGATTTGGTGTCCCTAAACAAATTACAATCAAATTCAGAAAAAAAAATAAAAATCTATCAGTAACTTCCCACCTCTTATGAATAACTTACCATGGTTATATCTCAAACAATCTTATTGCGTATTAATTTATTGATCTAATTGACTGATTTAAATCATTATAGTATTTGGATTGACGGTGAACCCAGTCAAATTTTGCTACTTAATTGATGTTTATCTAACGATTATAATAAAATCACATTATTAGATCAACTGATTCTATGAGATTTTTTAGGTCCCAATAACATTACTTTTATACATATTTCATGCTAACTAAATACATGCAAGAAAATAATTTTTTTTTTCTTTCTTTCACTCTACTTTCTATTACTTTTATTTTCTATTATTCTTTTCTTTCTAACAAAACGGACCATTTTTATTTGCATCCCCGTGGGTGCATGACCAAAGAAATGTTAGGGGTGTTAAAGAAAACACTAATGCTTCCAACAAATGCCATCAACTATTTTTCAACCGTCAAGAGGCACATTTGGTGCTGTTTCCTTTGAAAATATAACTGCTTACTATGGATGCATTGTTTTTCTCTGATAATCTAATAAAAAGTGTTTGGGAAACTGTTCTCTCTCTCTCTCTCTCTCTCTGTCTTCCCATGTCTACTGCAAATAACTTTCAGAAGGGTTCACCCTCACCCCCACCGGGACCATCAGCACCACCACAGCCAGCCCCACCGCCTACGCCAGTTCCTTCCTACCCAATCACTACCACAGGCATTCCAATGTTTGTCACAAATCAAATCAACCCTCCAATCCCTCCTCCCGCCGCCGCTTACTTGTCTTCTCATTCTCCTGGACCTTGGTCTACCGGGCTCTGCGATTGCTGCAACGATATTAGTAGTTGTAAGTGCCTTTTCTTTAGATAGACGGACTACTTCATCTTGGTTTCTATAATTTGTTTTTCTTTTTATTAATGCAATTCGTAGTTTTTGAGAAAATAGTTTTATTCTCATACTAATCTCTCTCTTTCACTTGCATCCATTAACCCCCCCCCCCCCCAAAAAAAAAAAAAAAAAAAAAAACAGCATCTTGTGAATATTAGTGTTTCGTAGAATTGACTTCCTCTCTATTACATTTTCACGGTAGATTAATCAAAGTAGATTCAAGTGAAATTTACTGTTTATAGATGCTATTAATGATATGTAATGAAAAAAGCTTCGATCCAATTAGAGAGGTCAAAAATTGAACAGGTTGGATGTAAAGCCATGCCAATTCATTTTAACATCATGTACAATTTATCACAAATCAGAAAGATTAACAGTGTTCTGTGTTTAAATCGATAGTGAAAGAGTAATGGAAAATTAGGGTCATAGTTTAAGGGAATTAAGTGTAATTTATTCGCACCCTACATATATATTATGACGTAAAGCTGTACAAAATTTATTTTTGAGAGATGTAGGCCTGTTTGGTTGCATCTCAAAAAAAGTATCTGAAAATTATTTTTAAGAAGAATTTTAAGAAACTGTTTTTACAAATTTTTAAATTACAAAATCTGTTTGATTATATATTTTTAAAAAATAAAAATTATAAAATTTGTTTAGACAATAATCCATAATTATCACATCTCTTCGACTCTTTATCTCCCTCTCTCTTTTATTGTGTATCACCCAAACCCCCCCCCCCCCCCCCCCCCCAAAGACCACCACGGAACCACCCACAACCACTGAACCCACCGAATCCAGAGCCACCCAAAACACAAAGTGAGCAAAGAAGATGAAGTTGCGAAGGAGAGAGAAAGAGGTGGTGGAGGCTACTCAGATCTATGTACAGATTTGTGTTCTCTCTCTTTTGTGCGCGGTGGAGACAGCTCAATGAGGCGGTGGAGGCAATGAGGCGATGCAGGCAGTGAAGCGGTTGAGACAGTGAGG